AGAAGATAGTCAATTATTATTATTTTTTTGCTTTGTGACATTTTCACATTATTTGAATGCAGAAAACATGTATAGTATTTATATACCATGGTAGTATGTTATACTGCCATTATTCTGACTGTAATAAATCATGTCCACATTGGTTGATTTTATATTACTGTATCATAGCAATGAACAGTATGAATTGATAGTCTCAATGCAAAAAATAAATAGGGATGCATTGATATTCTAGCCAATACGATAATATATTTGACTAATAAATGGCTGATATTTTAAATCTATACTTTAAAATATACTTTAAATGTTTTTGTATGATAGGTGAATCTATGCCACATTATAATGTACGATAATATTGCATGAATGTTTATTTTGAAATCTGCTATAGAAAACGTACACAGAAACAAGACTAATGAATTTGAATTATTATTTTTGGTAATGTTCCAGAGAGTTGTGTGTGTGTGATCTGAAATGCTTGTTTTTCCAAGAAAAGAAATCTATGGCTGTCCTAAATCATACTAAAACAATGTCTAATTTCTTCCTAAAACAAATTTAACAACAAAAGAGGCAGATACTGACCTATAACTGATATGGTGGCAATGTGAGTAATGTTTTATACAAAACATATTATAGAACTTGCTCAGAGTAGTGCACTATTTTTGACAGGAATGAAAACAAGGCTGTGAGTGACAGAAATACAGTGCGTTCAATGGATTGTCCTGTTGTTTAACAAAGTAACGATTGTTCAGATGGCGAAACTTAAAAAAACAACAACTCTGTAAAACAATTCTGAAAGATGTATACAGTGTGTGCCATAGAAAAGACAGCATTGTTTACATCCACATTGAATTCAATATGCCATCTAATCTGATTAAAGTTTATTGCTTTGGATTAAATGGGGAAAAATGACCTGAACAATCTTTATGAGATTCACCTTTGAACTCTTTTGAGAGACGGAAACCTTCAGACAAGTAACTGAACTGCAACACATCTGTATTGCGCAATACGTTTAAAGCAGTGATTACTTTAGTCAGTGTAGTATGAGTATACATCACACATTTATTAGTGAACAACCCTCTCCAATCAGCCACAATTAAAAAAAAAATATGATTGCACTACTCAGTAAAGCAGACCTAGCAACTTTCATTTAAAAAAAGTACAAATCTTAAAAAGTTCAATCAGTATACAGATGTATTTATAATACACTATAACTAGTTATATGTTAAATGCTACAAACAATGATTCCAATGGAATGAAAAAATTATAGCAATACGAACCATTTCCTATATATAATATATATATATTAGCTTTTTTATTTAATGTATTTTTTTTTTTTTTTCAAATACAAACATGGCAAAAATGAGGTAACCGTAAATGTGCAAGTACCAAAGCAAAATATCTTCCTAATACAGAACACATGCCCCTGGCCCTGTTGTTGGCTGGGTAGTCTGGAGTTCAGGCAATGACTGACCCCTAAAGGCCAGGAGGAGAATAGAACAGTAAACAATCCACTATCCCACCACAGCAAGAAATCATTGGTAAACAATCAGTGGCATCTATGGAGCAATCAACAAATCACAAATCCTAAAGTATTTAGCTGCTTATTGGAACACAATTTTCCACCACACAAGCTGTGAGATTATTTATTAGTTGAATCACAGAAAGACTACAAGATTCTATTTATCATCATAACTCATAGGTTTTTTTTTTTCCTTTCTTTCTCTTTAGTAATTCAATACAGGTAACACTGAGGTTTTCAAGGAATCTTGGTTATTATGGAAAATTCCTTTATAAATCTAAATAATGATATATTAGAAATAGCCCACAGCCGGTTACCCCAAGCAAAAGTGCTTGCGTGTATATCAACAACTTATTTTTAAACCATAACCGTTACAGATGCTCAAGGTAGAGAGAACCGTACAACAGGTACATATATTTCTGACCGTTTTGGTAAATGAGTGATAACGCTGAGTTTTTTAACCCACAAAAAACCTCCTACTACTTCGATTTAAGGCAGATGTATTGAATCTGATCACTCGGGCAGTAAAATAATAATATCCTTTAAAACGGTCTACCAGCACATACAAGTAAAGCTAAATAGTTTTCTTTTTTTCTCTGTTTGTTTTCTTAATTGAAACCCCTGTTGATAATGTTGTTAACTGTTTCTGACCACCGCGAGGGTACTAGTAGCACTGCATGCTGTATGAATAGAGACCCATAACAAACTATTGCATTCTCTTATGTGAATGTAGTATTACACCTAAATATAGAATGAATATCTAGCACCTTTTTACTATATGGCTTTCCATTATCTAGATTCCAGGCAAGTGTGTCAGTAACTGAGGCAACAATAGAAGCACAAATGTGGTGAGGAGCCTATCAAATCACATTTTTCCACTTCAAAAAGCCACCGTCTTCCCACTGGCATCAAGCTTAACGTTATTATTTTAAACGTCCTATATTATTAGTCTTTAATCTTTTTTTTCTTTTGCAAGTACAAGCACAATAAAATCTTGTAGTCATTCGGTTCTATTACAAATGTGTGCAGTACAGTGCATGGCAGTTATCAGCTGAGCAGAAAGTCCCCTACACCCAGAACCCAAAGCCAACTAGATCTACCTAAAAACCAGTTGGGACCTGGTTAGACACGCATGCATATTGTGTACAATTAAATACTTGCCCACCCCTGTCTACATATCTTTCACTGAAAATACATATTTCATTTTTTGACTTTTTTTCATTTTTTTTTTGAATCCTTAAATCATGCAAACACTGTAAGAATAGTCTTGGAAGTGGTCTAGGTAGGACAGTGTGCACCGTGGCACGTTTTTCAACGGGATTACAACCTTTATGTGTGGTTCAAGTACAAGAACACGGCAAAACGCAACGGCTGGAAAACAGGTTCGAGTAACATACACTAATGATCGGCTGCAGTGACGAAAAAAAGCCTATTCTCACTCGATACAACATGTGACTTCATCTTTTTTTTTTTTTTTCTTCTTTGCATGCCAGTCTTATTATGGAATAATATTCACCACTATTTATAAAAGGAATATTAGTTCAGTTGATTACATTTAAAATATGCATGGCCTGAGGAAAACAACCCAGAATACCCAAATATATCTCCATGGCGTCAATCCAATTTGAAATGGACTGTTTTCCTTTATTTTTCAATTACAGAGAGGCCCTGAGTGATTTTTTCCCCCCCATTATACTCAAAATATATGCCAGTGAACAGATATGTATACATAGATTACTTATCAAAAGTGTGGATTAAATTCATTACAATGGCTTTTTTTAAAACCTGGCACGCAAACACAAGATACTCACATTCTCTTAAGAGAGTCCCTTTACCCGAGAAAGCCAGTGTGTCTATTGAGTTACAATGACTATTCAGTGGACAAACGACTCATGAATATATATATATTTAAAAGTCCTATAATTAAAGTACTTAGGGAACCAAAAAAAAAAAAAAACGAATAGTTCATAGTTTTCCCCCGAACAACGTTCAGGTTTGTTTTTGGAATCGAGTGAACCACGAGTTAAGCGTTTTACAGTGCATTTTTTTCTTTAAACGACCCTAACGCTCCATCTCTGCCGTTTTGAATCCTATCCGGGATCTTCGTGGAACGACTACAGTCAACTGGCACACAGGAGAGGGCGTAACTAGAAATACAGAGGGTTTCAACATTCTTTTGTCTTAAAAACAAGACGATAATTTGCAACCTTTCACACCAAGGCTATGCATACAATGTTTTTTTTTTTCTTTCCTTCACATCACTTTACACTGTGAACATGGCCTGAGACCTGACAACCGGAGGCAAACTAAAATGCGCTAAAGATGTTTTAGCATTCCGACCGAATCCTTCACAAACTCTCGCGAAAGAAGAAATAAATAACACCACTTAAAAAAAATGCATACTTTTAAAAGAGGAACTGACAAAGGATGTCTGAAGATTAGTAACAGGTTTGTGCTTGTCAACGTCTTGAGAAGGCAGAGCTAAAATCTTGTAGAGTATATTGATTATTTGGCTCACGAATGAGGAAAAACAAAAAGCCTAGTCCTCCAAAATCAGGTCAAACGTTGTGTTCACTTCACACACTCATTGCACGTATTGCTTTCCGCAAAGTGTTCCACCCTTTCCCAAAAAGTCATTCTGGACAGGCGAATGCGAGCTCCTCGGCCTCCAGACGTGAGAATGGCGAGACGGAGGCCGACCGACATTCCTCTTGTGGCTGAAATGCGGTGGATTCAAATATTGCTAGTCTAAAAGAACAGTCAGCGCGAGATGTTCTCCTGGATCTAGCTGAGTGTGAAGGAGTGGAATCTAGAATCGATGGGGGTTGTGCAGTGCAGCCAGGTGGGAGCTGGCAGAGGCAGTGTGCTGTCCTCGTCCCTGTGTTCTCATGGGCCAGTCCGATTGGCCTCACCAGCAAACAGCAAAAGTGAAAAAACGCCACGTCTTCGTCAATGTCTCTACGACTGTGGTGAAAGCCCAGCGGGAGTTTTCCCGATGGATTCACAGCTGTCGTTTCGCAGTCCTTTTTGTCTACGTTTCCCTCTTTAACCTCAGGCCTTGGAACTCTGAACCACTGAAAGTCACACCTTCACAACAGCATTCGCAGATAAAAGAGAATCGGGATTAAGATATTCAAATGATCAATACATTATTGCAAAACATAGATTATTAACAAGTCCCTCAGCCCGTCACTTATACAGACATGCATCTATGATGGTTGTTCACCGGCGGAGCGGTCGCGTCCTACGGACTCGTCTGATTACACAGTAAAGCCAAAAACCACCATCATCCAGGCCCACTCCCCCAGTCCCTAACGACGCTAAAGCACGATTTTAATGATCTGTGATCAAACAACTAGAGAATATTCAATTGTGTAAACGAATATGCCAACACAACACGTATTACAGGTTATCTTTGGAATCTGCGAAACAAGGGCAGGGTAATGCAAAAAGAAAGATAAAAATAACCCCCCCCCCCCAAAAAAAAAATAAAAAAAACCCCCCCCCCCCAAAAAAAAAATAAAAACCCGGTCACAATTCCAGAACTCCGAAGTGGCTATAGGCGGCAGTAGCTTTCATGAAACTCACACAATGACGAACAGCAGAGGTCAAACAGGTTCCGTACAAATTCCAAGATTGCTTATTGTAGAGGTGGGGTTGGGAGCGGGGTGGGGGGTATATTTGCGTTTGGCCGGAGATCAGGTGTCCCCACTCACAGAACACACTCAAGGATTTGTGCTGTTTTCCAGTGAAGGACAAAAACCTGAACTCATTCCACATCGCGGTGAACTTCAGACGCGTCGGCTCGACAGATTGGACAGGTGCGATTGGCCTGCAAGACATGTTACGGATTAATTTCTACAAGCCAGAGATGTTTCCATACATTATTGATGGATCTATACATCGCCTGCCTATGCTATTAAAGACAGCATTAAAAACAAACGTCTTAATTTTTTCTTGAGCACCAAATCAGTATATTAGAATGACTTCTGAAAGATCATGTGACACTGAAGACTGGAGGAATGACGCTGAAAATTCAGCTTTGCCGTTACAGGAATAAATTACATTTAAAAAATATTTTAAATAGAAAACAGTTGTTTAAAATTGTAATAATATGTCACAATATGTGACCCTGGACCACAAAACCAATATATTTTTTTTAATTGATATTTAGCATCTGAAAGCTGAATAAATAAGTTTTCCATTGATGTATGGTTTGTTAGGATAGGACAATATTTGGCGGAGATAAAACTATTTGAATCTAATCTGGAATCTGAGGGTGCAAAAGAATCTAAATATTGAGAAAATTGCTTTTAAATTTGTCCAAATGAAGTTCTTAGCAACGCATACTGCTAACCAAAAATTAAGTTTTGATAATATTTATGGTAAGAAATGTACAAAATATCTTCATGGAACATGATCTTTACTTAATATCCTAATGATTTTTGGCATAAAAGAAAAATGTATATTTTAGGCCCATACAATGTATTGTTGGCTATTGCTACAAATATATCTGTGCTACTTATGACTTCCAGGGTCACATATTATTGTTTTTACTGTATTTTTGATCAAATAAATACATCACTGATTAGCATAAGAGACATCATTGTAAAATTTTCAAAAATCTTACTGATCTCATACTTTTAAACAATAGGCTACATAAGCATTTTGTAGACCGTAAGCCACTTAAAACCTGTATTGGTCGAACACTAATATTTACAGGGTTTCGCCGTTAGTTATTGCCGATTTTGTGCATTAAAACATCATTCTTACCTTTAACCACTTGTCCACACATTTTGCATGAAATTCGTGGTTGCAGGGTAATACTCGAAGTAGCTGCCTTGACTCAAAATCACAAAAGCATACAACGCATCTGTAAGAAAATTAAATACAATGCATCATCAATACCAAGTCACAATCAAACCTTCAAGATTATATAACCGAGGGCACTTACAGAGTCTGTTCAGATTGGTGGTTTTCTAAATTGAACCTGTAGGACGGAAGTTGCTCTATATCAGCTTTCGTTAGTCCTCTGGGTTTCGCTTCTCCGAGTCTCTCAGCAAGGTTTAATAACGCCTGAAAGAAAAATCACAGGTGTTCAAAACTCTTCACCCAAACCGTAACAAGATAATTACATTATCTCTGTTCCAAAATTAGCTTTAATTCTATAAAGCTAACCTTTTTCAACTTTGTTGCATCACTGCACATGCCCACAGAGTCACTCTTATTGAAAACAAATGACTTTTAGTTGCAAATATGTGTGTACAAACGTTAGAAGTTAGCTAGCTACAGACAGTAGACGGCGAGGCAGTTCACTAGGTTTTGGAACAGACATTACGTGAAAACCATCAAAGGCTTATTTTTGACAAGTCAGGTTATATAAACAGTAGGGCAACTCCATCACCCACCCTGGGAAGGATTTTCTATTTACCTCATAGTTTTCCATCTCCACATCATCTACATCCAAATCCAGACTGATAGCAGGACCCACAGCAGTTGGAGGCACAGGAAGCATCGAACTGTTTTCAGGTCACAAACACATAAATCGTTAACATACAAACCTTTTGTGTCACTATAGTAGAAAAATATCACAAAGGCTTTATAAAATCAGAACCGTCCAATGTCCATTATTAGAATATTAAACATGCACAAAGCAAAATGCATTTGATTTGTATTATAATGAGTAGAAGAGACTCTCACAGGAAGTATGGTAAGAAGCCAGGGTAGTAGGGCGGTGGAGGGGGTGGGGGAGGCAGAGGCTGCTGTAATCGATACCTCTGTCCAGTTATACGCCTCGGCAGCATGTGCGGATATGGCTAAGGAAACAGACGACAACACATGAGGAAAATATTTTGAATTATTATTATTCATTTAGCAAATCTCATCCAAAGCTACTTTGGCAGGATTTATACTACAAGAACAATCCCCCTGGAGCAACCTGAGACTAAAGATGATGTGTGCGAAATACACTCCCTTATTCATGTTTACTATGCAAAGTAGACCAGACATAAGCCACCTGTGGGTTGATTTCCTGAAAAGAGTAAAACTGTGGCTATTTGGCAATTGATTAATATTATCCAATAGGGTGACCATACGTCCACCTTTTTCCGGACATGTCCTGGCCGGGATTTCTAATTGGTTTTCCTATTGTTTTCATACTTGACTCAAAAGTAGTTTGACCAATAGCATGCAGGCATTGTACATAATCAACCATTCATGGCATGTAAGCAGGTGGGATCTACAGAGAAAACTGTCAAGGCAATGCAAATATGCGTACTGTATATATAATATTATGAGCACTGTAGATAGCATTTCAGTCAGAAAACAAAGCCAAAACCAGGCCAATTTAGGCAATTTCGAAAAAAAGGGAAAATTAAGATATATTATCCTATAGCCTGTGCATTTTAAATAACATCAATAGAAAGGCAAAGTAGGTTGATTCCAGATGGTTACTTCTACCATTTAACCATCCACAATTAGACCAGGAACATACATTAAGTACAAAAATGGGGCCAACTTTGCTTTTATGTTGACCAAACTAGGCACAGTCTTTCAACCTGTCCTGACTCGGGTTGTGGTGTATATTCTAACTGAATGGACAAACAGTTTTTGATAAAAATTGCCCATTTCCCATAGGCTTATACTGACAATTTTCTTTCTAAAGTTTTGAGCTATGGTCATCATTTCAGCACGTCTTTCTGACTTAAGCATAATTTTACCTAATTGGTTGAACTTACTGTTTTTCTGTAGCACACAATCAAAAATCCCATATTTCTCCAAGTGTTAACTGTCAGTTCAACTGTCAAACTGTTCAATTGTAAACACAAAGCTATGTAACTTGAATATATTGCGTATAGGCCAACACTAAACAAAGAATTATTTTAACTTCTTGTTATTTGAAACCCCCCCCCCCCCCCCCCCAAAACATTTAAAATTACTATTCACCATTATTTGACACTAGTAGTACTACTGCAAACTTTAACTTTGCTTTCTGGAATTTGAACCCATTTTTGTCATGCCAAACCAGACCTATAACCACTATTCAACACCAGTAAACCTTCACTGTTCTCTACATTAAGTGCATATTTTTTCCTTAATGTTATTACCTGTTTATGCAAATGCTGCTCATTTTAATCAGTATATCACTTTTGACTTGATTACAGTGATTTCTATGCTTTGTTGACATTCAAAAGCAAAGACATCTCACCACTCCGTAGGGTAGCTCTTGATGGAGGGGCTCCTGGGGGAGGTACTGGAGGGGGACGGAGGGGGTCATTGCTGGTGGATGGTGGGCCGGAGGATAAGAGAATGTTCCTAACGGATGCTGGTCTCCTCGCAGATCCACTTCATTCTCCACCCTCTGCAGAGGCTGAGCACACATGTATAAAAGTCATATCTCTAGCACACGATTACGACTATTAATACCATAAAATCATGTGCTATTTTAGAAAGAATTCATTTTGTCGCAGCAGTTTAACACTTGTTTTATTATTATTTATTAAGATCACAATCAGTTGTGGGGACTAATCTGTCACTCATGACTAATTGTTTTCTCTAGATTGTAATGGGATTGCTTTACTAATAAGACTGTCTGAACTGTAATTACATTACTGTAGTGCACTACACTCAACACTGGGAATAATAAACTGGCTCATCCAAACACATAAATGCATATATGTTTTCGAGTTGTTTTTAAATAAGTATGACATAATGTGAAAATTAATAAGAAAAAATCTTTGGTTTGTATCTGTCAGGTAAGAAACTCATCTAAGTATAAATAATCAAAAGAGTGAAGAATCAAAACTCAAGTGACATTGTTTTATTATATAAAAGAACAGCACTACTACTAAATAAATGTTTTATGTTGAATTACCACCAAAAAACTATTCACTACTTTCACACATTTATCACTACTTTTACAGCTTAATATAAAATTACTCATGCAAAGATGATTTTGGTCATGCCACCCACCTATGTTGTCAACATAACTTATGTGAAATGCACAAAAAAAAAAAAAAATTCTGTAATAAAAAAAAAAAATGTATAAGAAAATAATATTTCATATATATTTACGCATTTTAATTATAGTGGGAAATAAATAAATATATAATAATTATATATATATATATATATATATATATATATATATATATATATATATACACATACATACATACATACACACACGCATATTAGGGATATGCCGGTATCAAATTTTCATGTTGCGATTATTGCTAATGCTTTTATTAACAGTATACGGTATTATCACGATATTGAAATTTAGTTGCAAAAAAGTGTTGCATAATAAAGTATAACAGGTTTATTAACTTTTTTCTTATAACAAAAATAACTGAACATTTAAATACAATAAAGCAATACACAAGAAATGTATAAAGTTAAAAATTTTAGAGATTAAAGTGCAAAAGAATTGTAAAGACCAATAGGTATCACTCAGAGTTGCCACGTCCGCGTAATATACGCGACTTTCGGCTTATTTTTTTGCAAAGTTGCGTGAAAAAATCCAGAGTTGCGGGTTGTGGTTTTTTGGGCTTATTTAAAAAAATATATGGTTGCTTGTTAGGGAAATCTGACTAGCAACTTCATTACTTTATTTATGTTCGTATTTTTGTAATGTATTAATTATCACGGGCTGTAATAAAAAACAAGTAGTCCTATACTAATACTAAGAGTAAATATGGTTCGAATAGCCTATATTTTAGTAGGCTATAAATAAATAAATAAAATAAATGTATGCATTTAACAGACGCTTTTATCCAAAGTGACTTACAGTGCATTCAGGCTATACATTTTTTACCAGTATGTGTGTTCCCTGGGAATTGAACCCACGGCCTTTTGCGCTGCTAACGCAATGCTCTACCACTGACCCACAGGAACACATAAATATGCTATGTTACAGTTAGCTCTTGTGTTTTTCTCCTTTTCCATCTCTCCAATCCTATTCTGCTCACAGGTGATTGGAGATGAGTTTTGTTCCCACTTTTGTTGCAGTTTGCTGATTTTTGTAAAATAGCTTCTGTTTTTGCTTTTCAGATAAAAGAGTGGTTTCAGTTTAATATGTTGCAGGCTCATTTATTGGTAATAAATAATATATTTAATATAAATAAATTATATAATAAATAATATTGATGATAATAAATCATCAAAAAATACTGGGCTTGTTTTTAAATCTGCGGTTGCTTATTTGTCTCATGAGAGTTGGCAACAGTGGTATCACTTTACAATAAGATCTCATTAGTTAACTTTAGTTAATGAATTAACATTCACAATGAGCAATAGCTACATTTGCTACAGAAGTTATTCATCTTTGTTTAAAAAAAAATAGGCTACAACTCTTAGCTCATGTTAGCTCATTAAATAACACAGTTGCAACTTTTGATTTTAACAACGTGTTATTAAATATTGGAATTACGTAAGATTAACAAATGTTTAGAAGAATTGTTCATTGGCAGTTTATGTTAACTAATGAATTTACTAATGTCAACTAATGAAGCCCTAATGTAAAGTGTGACCGAACAATAAAGAATCAAAACACTTTCAAACAATATCTAGGGCATGTCGAAAGTCAATATTAAAATGCAAAAAAATTTGAAAATAAATAGCCTATTAAGTCTAAATATTTAAGCATTTGGTGCTTTGATGAACACCATAGTGCATAAACAAATCTGAATGCGGTTTAAATAATTTAAACATGTTTCAGAAACAGAAAGTAGTGCAGCTACTTTGTTTACGGGGTTTTCCGGGCTGCGTTTCTGCTGTTCAGTGCCATCTGCTGTCGGAGAGTGAATGTGCGCTTTCATGTGCTTCTCATGCATGCTTGTTTACATCAGAGAGGGCATGCGTCTTTAACGCAGCATACAGCAGTGTTGTGCATTGTGAACAGTTGGTGGGAAAAGTATTCTTAAAATGCATGCATTCAAAAGATTTTATGATCTGCACTCACCATGCGCGGGTGCTGGGGCTGTATGGGGACAAACTGGTTGAGTGGAGGCAGATGAGGCTGGTGGGGCGGCACTGGTGGGCTGGGGTGCAGGATAAAATGCTCACTGGAGATCAATGGTGGAAATGCCTGATAGGACACAGGCAGGTGCTGCATGGTGCAGGCCTGAATGAGCTGCAGACAGACAGACAGACAGACAGACAGACAGAAAGAGAAATAACAGACAACAAAGTGTCACTAACACACAAGACACACACTCATGAAGAAAGTGTATGGGCATTTGAATACTGAATTGCTGTGCAGTTTAAGAAATGACTGTTAATACTGGGAAAGCATACTCTGGAGTAAAGCACATCTAACGTTTTCACTATTCTGCACTATTTAGGAATCTGATAAACCATTTCAAAAGCATGGGGAAAACTTTGGGGGAAAAAAGTAATACATTTTTCTTTTGTTGTTTTCTTTTTTTTGTATAAAAATTTAATATAATAGGAATAATAAAAGCAATAATAATCAAAATAATATTAATATATAACTATATACATTTATACAACTTCATTATTAAGCATATATAATGCAAAGAAGACATATAGCCCTACTATATAGCCCTGCACAAGACAGTTTGAGCTGTACATCACTGTGGCCACAAAAAATACAGGTGGGTATGTTGACACAAACGCAATGACTTGAGCAGATGGTACAATTAGCAGAAAGTACACCTTTGCTATCCATGTCAAAGATAAAATACCCCAGACACTCGCAGTGGCAATACAAACAAAAATTAAGGGGGGGTTGCACATTGCCCCTTAAAAGTTGCATCATAAAAAGGTTATTACACATTCTAGAGACACAGGAAAAGTCTAAATGAAAATCAAAAAGTGAAATGTAGCTGTTTACCTATGCCTAATGTGTAAGCATGATAGGGACATACAGAACAACACTCATAATAGAGTATCTTTGGCTAAGAGGTGGGCATAATGGCTGCCTGGGACACATACATTGGCTAAAGTAAAGCTGGAGCGATGGGACATGTTAGGTGTGCTCTACACAAACTTCACTGACATTCCAGCTCTTCCTTTTCAAACTCACTGGAGGAGGAAGGCAGCAGAGCAGAGAGAGCTGTCCACTGAACATTACCGAGCATGCTGGGAGCTGCTGAGCATTGCAGGCTGGGATAGGTTGCCCGGTGTGGATGGGAAAACCATGGGTCGTCACCGTGGTAACTGTGTAAGATATCGGAACTGATCCTTGATGCATCTTGAAGGACAACACAAAAAGTTCTGGTTATTTGTTAAAAAAAGCTATTCATAATTACAGTCTACACATAGCACTTTCACATCAAAGCCTGAGTAATACAATTATTGTCTATATGCTAGCGGTCTCAAACTACCAGCTTCTGCTTAAATTTGATTCATGAATCAACTTTCATGCTCTGCAGCTTGGTTTAGGGTCCGGACCGGATTTAGAATTTTTATTTTTAAATAATTTTTCTAAATGTAATTTATTATTTTATTTATTAAAAGGCCTAAAATGCAAATTGCCCAAATGTAGCTCAACTAACAATGAAAACTTGAAATGTATATTTATATATTTAAATTAAAAGATTGTTTTATATTTATTAAAGGCCTGAAACACAAATATAAAAGCCCAGTTGCCGAAGTAACAATGAAAAATCTGTCAAAAAGTTTGATTTTATAGTTTTTATACAATTAAATGTTTTTATTTTCATACATTTTCTTAATTTATTTTTATATTTATTGAAGGCCTGAAACAAACATAAAAGCCCAATTGTAGCCTACGTAACAATAAAAATCTGTCAAAATTTGATTTTATAGTTTTAATTCATATATTTATACCTTTTATAAAAATATATATTTTTATAATCAAGGCCTGAAAACTCAACTGTAGCATAACTAACAATTAAATATACATTAGAATTATTTTTTAGTGTTTATACATTTAAATTGATATTTATTATACTTTGTACATTTATTTTATACATATTAAAGGACTGAAATGCAAATACTGTTAAAAGTAACTGGCCTAAGTAACAACAACAAAAAATTGTCAATAAATGTATTATTCAAAAATGTATACATTTACATTGATATTTTTTACAAATGTATTATATTAATTCAAGGCCTGAAAATTAAAATGTAAATGCCCACTTTTAGCCTAAAATTTGATTGTATTGTTATTTTATTTATACTGATATTACTTTTTCATATTTAAATTTTTTGTACACTTCTTAAACATAGTGAACATCAAATAGTGCATTATATAAGGAACAGGAAATGAATGTTTCTAGTGGAGAACAACACCTAGATGGAAATGTGTGTTTGAGACCCCTGTTGAACTAATACCTGTTCGTGAAGATCCACCATGATGGAGCTCTGTTGAGGGGGTTGTGTGGCAGTATGCAGCATGCGTGGAGGTGCACCGGTGTGGCTATATTGCCTGGACTCATCTAAAGGAATCTGCTGATGCTGGGAGAAGACAGGGTGGTGGAAGTTCTCATCCTGATGTAGGGAAGTGTGCACAGCAGGTATATCTCGCTGTCCCCACTGACGTCGCACTGGAGGACTAGGACATAAACACACACAGACCGTAAGTACATACTCGAGTCGGCATATGATTTTAATGAACTCAAAATGATAGTGACCACCTCACCTTCTCCTGAGGTGCAGAGGTGTGATGCAAGGCTCCCCGACGACCCTCCTCTGGTTTAAGGGGGCTGTTGATGGCCGCCTACTCACTGCTACTTCCCATGGTCGCATTTGTGAAGTCGTACGAACGAGTCACACCTGCCTGGGGTGGGGGGACCAGTAGTGCAAGAGGCACTTGTGTCTAACAGCCTCAGATTGTCGGAACTCTGAAACAAGAAATATGGGTTTTGTGAATTGAATGATGATTTTGAAAAAATCAGCAGAACCCTTTGTAGTCATTATATGTGCATTTCAACTTATGTTATATTAACTTAATATTACCAAAGTTCTGTCATTATTTACTCACCCTCATGTAATTTCAAACCAGTATGCTCTCTTTTTTAATGATTTTCCCCCATACATTGACTGTGCATAGTAACCATGTCTGTCAAACTCCACAAAGAACACCATTAAAGTAGCCCTCATAACTTCAGACAGCTTTAAATGAGGAACAGGCTTAACATTTAATGTATTATTACTAAAAAATCTTTGTATCTGCCATATTTAAATTGTAATATAGCACTTTCAAATAGGTTATACATCATTTAAGCATTGACAATCACAGGATTTCAAAACATGAGGCAAAATAGTCTACACTTTTTTTTAACATGCAGGGGAACCTGGTTCAAAGACCAACCTCACATACAATTATTCATTTTTTTTAGTAAACACAAAACTGCAACTGACTTTGACAGCCAGTGATCAATGTGTTGCATGGGGGAAAACTGCAATATATTATGTTCACAGATCCTTTTGTTCTAGACAGTATAACAAGCAAATGCATGGCAAATGATGTTTGAAAACAAATCATTAGTGAAAATGACTTTCAGTTTGTTTTTCTCCAAGGTGCTTTTTGGAGCTTGTCAGCTGTGGTCACTATATATGTTGTATGGAAAAAAGAAGCCTTTGCATTCTTCAAATTTTCTCCTTTTGTAGACAACTAAAAAAAAATCAACAACACACAAGCTAACACCACATTTCTGGTGAATTATTCCTTAGTACTACTTTCAATGGAAAAAATACATACAGGTCATTTTCCAAGAAATGAAGACAAAATACGTCAATAATTGCCTGCTGTAGTGTATTAATATATGGATTGTAATATCATTTCATTAGACGTAATCTTTGAATTACAAGTAGACTGTGGGAGCTTAAAATACACAAAACCAGACTTTTCAGGGCACAAACGTTGAAATGCATCAGAATTAATAACAAAATATATATTTATAAAGATTTCAAATACATTTTATTACATTTCTCTTTTCAAAATCGGTGGAGTGTGCATTCATTCACGCTAGCACGTCTAAACTTCTCATCGTGCTACACATGACATTCAAATGTAGGCTACAGTGCCATGTGTAAAATTTAAAAAAAAAAAACAAATACCAACAAATCTTCACACACTGGAAGCGTAAACCGTGTTTAATGGATAGACTGGGCTGATTTGCCACAAAGAGGGGGAGCTGTAACTTGAACAACAAAAGCGTGGAGGGCCATGTGCTCCCAACACAGACAAAGCAATAACAAAGGAGCGCCACCAAACCTCGCCTGCCTCACTTTATCAAAAATAATCACTCGAAAGGGCTTGTGGGTATGATTTAAACATTATTCATGCTTCAGATAAGGACAGCGCACATTTCCCTTGAATAAAACACTTATAAGTGTCACCGTGGCCCAGCAGAGGACATCAACAATAGCACAAAGAAGTCGCCAGGCCGAAGTTTTACAGGAGCTCGCGCAAACATCCGCAGTTGCCCTCGTGCTCTTTAAACAGGTTCTCAATGCTACACAGAGGTTGTACATTGCATACAAATGATTAAACAAATCGCATGCACTTTCCAAGCTCTTAGCTGCTATCGCTAGCATACAGACCGAGCAGATGAAGCCCCAAGCAGGAAATGCAGGGATGCACCCCTGACAAAAGACACACGGTTTAGCTTGAACGCCACATTAAGACAGTCTGCTCGTCGTGCATGCAAACGTCTGAATACATAGAGTGTTCTCGTTTTTATTTTACGTGGAATATGACAGCTTTTTGTCCAATGAGCAAAGTATTATCGCACTAAAAGAGCCGAGCTTACTTGTTTTCAATGGCGCTCGAGTTTCCGACTCGTCCACGCGCTGCTTTTAGTCGACTAACACGATGCAGGATGTCTCGTTTGGTGATTTTACAGACTAATCCAGAAGAAATCGTCCAGGAAAACTAGCAGACTGTCATGGTTAACACAGAGGTATCGGCCGTTTCCTAGTTCACGTCCACGAGTTTGTTGTTGTTGAACAGGCGTTGATCTTCAGCATAGAAAGAAAAACGGCATATTCCTCTGCTGCCTAACATCGGATAACTTAGCTCCAACAAACTTGTTGTTTCCTTTAATATTATGTCCGATGCATTCAAACTGGGTTTGATCTGTGACATGGGTGCAGTTCAATATTGTTGTGTGCCTGTAGTCACGCCTTCTTCCTCTAAAAACTACCACGCAAGAGAAGGAGACAGCCAGTCACTTTTTAGATCTGATGTTTGGTCGAATTGCTCCAAGCTGATCCCAACTTTAAGGATGTTTTCACACTTCCTCTTTACTAAAAACAAGCACAGACCCCTTTAAGTGGTCCAAAAAGTGAATTGAATCAAAATCAGGTACCTAGTTCTTGCATTCACACTCGTTTTGGTTCACTTTAGCTGCAGTCCACTAGCAATTTACATTGTTTTTCAAGAAAGCAACCAAACTTAAAAAATATTGTAATATAATATTTAAAAAGATTATTACTGAAAATTATTTGTTTGCGTTGTGAGAATTTGCAGCACCTGCTGTCAAACTGATGAAGATGTTTTCTTGATTGGCTGTTGCTTTTTCTATTTGCATGTGTTTTCTGAAGTTGCAGAGTGTTTAGCTCTCTCGGCCACCGTAGAAAATAGTCAGAATCTGCAAATCAGATTTAGTTTTCTTCTGAGAACTGCAAGTTTATATATCTGAGAAAATTATAAGGGAAAAAAAGAATTGCAAGAAAAAAGTATGAAAAAGTCAGAAAGACTACCATTACATTTATTCGATTTTTTATTTATCTGGTGGTGGGGGCTGGCTTCCAAATTTGCTTATTGTTAGTGAATAACAATTATCCAACTATCTTTTTCAGTGTCACTAACTGTCCATTAAATACTTGTAGGCCTACTTACTGATTGGAAACTAGTATTTCAGTAATTACTATTAATAAGCCACTGTTATAAAGTATTGACAAGTATTTATTGAAGTAGTGACTATTCATTAGCGTCAATGACCTGTACCTTTCCTAGCAGTCACTTTTATAGTGATAATACAAACAAATCACACAATTTGCAGGTAAGTCCTACTGAAATAGGGACTAGTTTTAATTCTTTAGTTACTTGTAACAGTTAAAATAGTAGTCTTTTTTTATTATTAGACACTAGTTTGTATTCCAGTTGTTAACTAATATGATTTTGTAATGCAAGTATCCATTCTGACTTGTCAGAGATATGTAAAAAATAATTTAAATTAGTGATGTTACAAAGATGTGTAAAACAATTGGAGTAGATACTATTTCATAATTCGGTTCTATTATTTAACAAATAGGTACTAGTAAAACTGAAATTGATTCTATTGGGACTGTTAGCCTAATGTTAATTAAGAAGCACTAGTAGCTCAGTCTTCTTTCCTCAACATTGAATCTCTTTTCTGTCTGGATGATTTTATAATTTTATGTGTGATTTTACCTATATAGGTATACTGAATGCACAATTAATGTATGTGATATTATGATATTCAACCATGCCAGGTAAAACCAGATACTAAAAACAGACACTAGTTAGTAGCCTAAGGAATGAATGTTAAAACGGCTTGCCACAGTTGTCTTGCTCTACCGTAAACACTGTACGAGTTTGTCCTCATGAGCTCCCAATGTCAAGTCTCGGTTAACAAGATCACAGGGCTACGATTAGGTCATTGCATAGACTGTCCTATTATCCTGTTCTCCACATTGAATAAAAAAGCTTAAATCCTCGTCGGGCATCTTCAATGACAAAAATAGATAGCTGACTGGATTATTTTTACTTCATAATGATGATGATGACATTACACCCGTGCTCTGTTTTCTTGTTAAAGCTGTTTGCATCATGAGGGAGGCATATGTCATCATCAATTTGATTCTTTGCATCCATTATGGAAAAACTAATCAGGGTTACATTACGTAAATTCCAGTCTATGATTAGAATGTGCTTTGCTTTGTCTCCCTCTACTGGCCAGACGAGGAACTATAGAGACTACCTGGGATGACGCCGTAAACGTGATTTGACCAAGTACAACATGTTCCTGAATTAACATCCTCGTTGATCCTGGAACGTCATTCCAATCAACCAATCAGAATTGAGGGTTAACTTTATATATATATTAGTGAGGGTCTGTCTTTTTTACAAATCATATAAAAACACCATCTAGAATGTAGGGTAGAGTGGGGGAAACGCCCCCCTTAAGGACTGTAATTTTTTTCTGTAAAACCAAGGTTAAATGTGTTCAGAAAAGTTATTATAGTTTTAGTGACACTAGCATCAATTATAAACCACGTATGAAAAAAGTCCAGAGTTTTTGTGTTATTAGATTTTTAACAAAAATTTAATTTGTACAAAGGGTGTGTTACCCTGGGGCAGAACGCCCCCATGGGTGGAGTACAATGCCCCCCCAGTCAAACAATGCAATTTGCTTTAAACATTTACAGTAAAATCAGAGTACATGCAGTTTTAGCTTAACATGTAAAAAACAAAAATAATATAATCAGTAATTATGGATTACAAAATTATAATAGCCTATTTGAAATTTCTTTTGTTAACTGATGTTAACTGGCTAGCTGACTAGCTACTTGATGCTAACTTGAGGTAATTTTTAAATATAAAGTCAGAATACTTTGATTCAACCAACTAGAATACATTTGATGGAAAAACTAAGGATTTGATGTTCAGAACAGAATAACTACAGTTGGGGCCGTTTTACCCCACAGACTGTTTGAGAACAAATTAGCCTATGTCATTCTGAAAATATAATTATATTTTTTATTAAATAACACATACTCCCTATCTACAGGCCCAACTGTTCTCTTATATATAACTGTGATGTTCTACAAAACAACAAACAAATGAGATAATTTACTGTGAAATCTGTTTTCTCTCCGGTGTAAGCTTCATCGTGAAAACTTCTACATCACTCTTGGCAACTTCGTCCATAGTTACAATAAAAATGTATCTTGACTTTATCTTGTGGTTATTTTGGGAAAAACAGTAGGGGGCATTTCCCCCCACTATACCCTATATGTTCATGCAGGTCTAACAAGTTTTTTGAGCCTGGCATACTGTGTGTTTGTTTGTTTATTTTATGCATATTTTTAACCAAGCCCATACTTTTCATAACCTTTGGTTAGCAAGATGGCTGCACTGTTGATAGCAATAAATGAGCAAAACACTTTAGTGTCATGGAAAGCTATTAGATCTATTAATTATTAACTAGACAGTGGTTATAGCCTATGTATAATAATCAAACCAAAATTTATCGCAGATTATTGTTATTACAGTGAACGTTATGACATAACGCCTTTAAATGTTATTTCATTTCACAGCATAGTTACACAATATGCATCTCAATAAAGACTCGTCTTGTGCTTTAAGATGGGTCATGATCATTGGGCCTCACCCATTTCACATCATTGCACTAAATCATAAACCAAAGTCTAAAACGATAAGATTAGGGTGGCATATTGGTGTACTGTAATACATGTGGCACGAACAGGTCACATTTTACAATATAAGTTCCAGTAAACAGATTTATGATAGCTTTATGTATTTTTATTCTAACACATCCAGATTCACACTGACACCTGAATCGCAGATCCCCATAGAATATTTATATAGAAATATATTTTTGTTAATTTCTGCATATACATGATTGTCATCTTTAGATATATTTGCTTAATATTATTTCACTCTATTTTGACTTTATACAATGTCGAAAGATGCACACAGAACTTGCCACAGATTAAGCTTTAAATACTTATAAATATTTAAATGTACATCTTTTTTATTTAGTATGCATTTAATTTTAATACTTAATAATACATGCTTTCCGTTTATAGTTTATTTGTATTTTGTATTTATTGTATAAAGTCTGTATCATTGTATATAATATTATACAAGTCTTTGTATAATTTTTTTTTTACTATTTACAGACTTGACATACACACATATATATATTATGTGTATAATATTATTCCCAAGCCTTCTCTGAATCATTAAGATGTTCTTTGGCAAACTTTAAACGGGCCTGTACGTGTGCCTTCTTAAGCAGGGGGACCTTGCGGGCGCTGCAGGATTTCAGTCCATTGTGGCGTAGTGTGTTACCAATGTTTTGCTTTGTGACTGTGGTCCCAACCGCCTTAAGATCATTAACAAGCTCCTCCCGTGTAGTTCGGGGCTGATCCC